CTCTCTCTCTCTCTCTCTCTCTCTCTCTCTCTCTCTCTCTCTCTCTCCCTCTCTCTTCCCTAGTGTGTGTGTGTTTGGGGGGAGTGTTTAGGAAGGAAAGTCCCGGAAGTAAGTGAATCTGAAGAAAAATGGAGTCCAAAGAATGAGTTCTTACAATCCTTCCAGTCAACTCTTATTCAAGAGGAGAAAGAGAGACAGCGAGTAAATCTTCTGCTATTGTGTGTTTCCTTAAGATTGTCAGACAGCAACTACAGCATCATCTATTCGTACAACAAGTGAGTTACCAGGAACCTAACGTCATACAGTCATTCAGTAACGCATTGTAAACAGTAGAAGTGGGCAAGACAGGAAAAGACTGTTCTCCTGGCTGATGACAGTACTGGGGGTTAGGGTCAACAGTGGATGATTTTACAAAGACATTCTTCAAGAGGTTTGGGATACATGTGACCTGAGGTCATTCTTAAATTGTTAGGTTGTTAGAAATGTTCAAGATAAATTAAAAATACTTCTGAAAATTATTACCTGAAAGTCAGTCCATATCCTCCAGAAGGCACTACTGCCTATTTGAAAGCAGGACTCTTGGTTGAACAAACATTCTAGGATGAAATTCTTTCTTTTGGTTTTATCAAATCTTTGTAAATTAATAAACATGGATAAATTAATCACATGTAACATATTGTTTAGGTATGTGTGTACATTATACATTTATTTCCTCACGGTATGCGGTACTTCGCTGTTGGCTGTAGTCAGCATGCTGCATGATGAATGTCTCCCTTCCCCAATCCCCGATAATCACCCCACTTCTCTCTGCAAGTCAAACCTCCTTACATTCTGGATGGAAGTGAGATCATGTGTTTGCCTTTTTGATATTATGGGCATTTTTTACATTCAGATGATTTTTACTTTGATGAATGACCTATCATATAATAAGCATGTATTAGCTAGAATAATCACAGACATAACTATAAGGTCTTTGTTAATTTAGATTAATGAGAATTGCATGTGTCCACTTAACAGTCCTTGGATATTGTCTCAGCTATTTGGAACATTCTGTGGCATAGAATGAACAATACTCCTTAAGGAGATTAAAGCAGGCATGAGCCTCTTAACTTCAAGTATTAGAGAACTTATCTTGATTAATAAGGATGTGAATGACAAATTTATCATGATTTACTAACAAATATAAATTTCAAAATCTACTTTCAAAGAACCATTTTTATGCAAATTCATTGTTCATAGGAAGAAATAATTTTGACATTAAATTAAATTAGTGGAAAATTTGGAGAAACATGGATTCAATCAGAAATTTCTTGCCTTAAAAAAAAACAAGTTCTAAAAGCAGATGAGGTGTTTTAATTATTTCACTTTACATATGGAAAGAATAACTCTGAAGAAAAAAAACTTAGGATTCCTTCCAAGTTTGAATTATAAATTATCCCAGGACCCTGGAGAGAGACAACAGAAAACAAGATTTGAGTGATTCTTCTTCAGGCCAGCCTTTCCATCAATATTGAAAGCCACCTTGAGGACCTAATTTTTTCCTTGTGCTGTTTCCCAGAGAAGAGAGAAGTTTAATCTTCTTTCTTCTAGGCCCATGATTTGTGTTGTTTGGGGTGGATGGATGGTGTCCCAGGCCTCAAGCTTCTGTGAGCCACTCTGTGTAGCCATGTAGACTTCAGCTGAATCATACGGAAGAAATTCATACCTGACTCTTCAGTCTAGAGGACTTTGGTGTTAACCTTTTTCTACTGAACTTGTGGCCTGCACCAGAGACAGGTGATGCCGACTGACCCTGTTACTGGACCACTGGTTATGACATCCCCACATTCAGGACAGAGGAGTGGTCGACCCTACCGAGAGCTCAGAGCCCAGCGGGACTCACATGCCAGAGACGCAATTCTCACATTGTTCCCATCTCAAAGCTTTTTTTGTGACCTGCTCTGACTTTCAGGGGCTTAATGGAGAGCAGAGCTACATGGGGTGAGCGAGTGGGAGTGGGGGAGGAGGTGTAGGGCCTGGAAGAGAATGGTTCTGAGAGAGAAGAGAGTGTTGTCCCAACCTAGTCTAATTTACCTTCTTTAATTCTTCCTACATCAGCTCCCTTACACACCATACTGGGCAATTTCATAACCTTAAGGAATTCTTTGATGTGTATCCTTAAGTGTAGGTGTAGAGATGAAGGGTAACTTTGACTCTCTCAGAAATAAAAATGTACAACTGATGATCCCTGGAAGACAATTCTAGAAATCACACCATTCATATTAAATGCTGCTAAGAAAAAGTAACTTGAAAGCAAGCATATTAATAGCATGTCTACACATCATTCTCCTCCATAAAGAGCAGTGAAAGACACATAATATTTTACAGGCAGGACTACTAATCCCCTGAGAGTCATGTAACATTGAGGGTAACAAAACAGACTAGACAAAAGCTTAGTTTTGCCTGAAGTGTCATCTAATTTCTATCCTTTACTTTGGTTAGTAGGAGAGCTATCTATCTATCTATCTATCTATCTATCTATCTATCTATCTATCTATCTATCTATCTATCTATCTGTCTGTCTATCATCTATCACATACTATCTATCTATCCATCTATCTGTCTGTCTATCTATCTATCTATCTATCTATCTATCTATCAATCCATCCACCCTTCTACTATGTACTATCTATCTGTCTGTCTGTCTGTCTATCTATCTATCTATCTATCTATCTATCTATCTATCTACCATCTACCAATATATCAATAAGTCATCTATTTATCATATTTATTTACTTATTTGATTATTTATTTATTTTGGTGGCAGGTTTTTTAAATGTCTACCACTCAAGGGATGTTTGGTCCCATTTTCACTAATGTTTCTTGCCTCTACGCTTCTAGATTGGCACCTGAGCAGTCTCCTTGGGTCTTTAAGCTGCCATGGGAGAGCCCCAGGCATCTTGGAACATTATGCAGACACAGAATGATAAGCGTGGAGCTAAGGTGCCTCCCAGAATACCCATAAACTGTCCTTCCTCCCTGTCTCTCTATGCCTGAAAAACATCTTTTGGCATCTACAGAGATGCCTTTTTCCCTTTAATGCAATGGAGCGTCCAAGGCAATTGATGCCAGGAGCATTCTGCTAAGAAACAAGAGGAGAAAGAAAGGCAAGGGCCTGTATTATTGCTTTAAAACACTAACTGACCTTGTAGAGATAATGACTGCAGATTGGGAGACCTTGACTGTCTCTTTCAGGTTAGATGGAACACTAACAGATTT